TGCGCCGCCGCCGGCCGCCACCTTTTCCGGCCAACTTTCTCCGATCGTGCCGAATTTTATATCAACGCGAAGCTCTCGTTGATGCCAACAACATATCCGAACCTCAACGAAAAATTCCGGCGAGAAGACTTCCAATTTTCCCGCGAAAGCTCGTAGATCTATAAATCTCTTCAACCTTCAAATTCAAATTACCGGTGACTCACATGGACCCACTGAAATCCGAAGGCACTCCCGGACTCGTCTCGCCGGACCGCACATTTTTCCGATCACCGTCGCTGGATCCGGCAAACTTTTCCGGCGACCACTTTTTCCAGCGAACGAGCATCCACCGAGTTTTCGGTTAGTATTTTTGAGCTTTTCTTTTCATATACCATCGATTCCTTTTGTTTTGTACCTTTTCTGGCGACTGGATCTCCGATTTTTCTATATTTCTCTATTTACGAACTCCGACGACCATTTTTCTCGAAATTTTCCAAGGTCCAACGTCTCGATTTCGATTTGTATTTTCGTATCTTTATTATATTCGTTGTGCTTGGATTACTACTCTTGCCGGAGTAGTCATATAGAGATATTTGGGTTAGACTTGTGTGTTTCAACACGTCTTGCCGGGCGTGCCACATGTTTGTGTTTTTGCCGGGGTTTTGAGTTAGTAGGTACCTACTTACGGCAAGCGCCGGTAATCGCTTATGCGTTGCTTACAAATGGAGTTAGTTGTGTCGGACCATGGCATGGATCGACAAGGACTTCGAGGCCCGATTTTTGCGCTTTCACGTGAACGTGTGTCTACGTCGAGTTTATGCATGCATGGTTACCATCTCTCCGAGCCACACACACATGGCCTCTCTCGTTTCAAGTGCTTAAACGTTAAACAGTTCGGATGGCTCTATTTCGCGCTCAATAGCCTTCAGTTGACCTCCTTTATTCCCTCCGGACGACCATTATCGAACACACGGTGGTGACGACCACCGTGTAGAGTACGCATTTTCTTTTCCTATTTTCTCTTTCTTTCTTTGCTTTTTGTGTGTCTTTGTGTTATTTCTTCTCGTTTCTTTGATTTTTGTTTTTCGTTTTCGTTTTTATCGCACGAACTTACATGATTATGTGCCTTCTCCTTTGCTTTTTGTCAAGCAATGAGGACATTGCTTTGTTTTAAGTGTGGGGGAGGGATTTTCGTGATTATGCATGTTTAGGTGATGTTCTTCTCATTTTTGTGCCTTATTTTTCGTTTTTGTCGTGTCGTGGACCGGTTTTATTTGAGTTTTCTGTGTTTGTGTCATCTCTCCCGCATGAAACTTGATGTTTGTTTGAGAGTCGAGATAGCTAAGTGGTGAGTCGAGATTATTGATTGGTTTCGCTATTAGCATTCATGCTTGATGTACTTGATAAATTTGACGGTTTCCTTTAATTGATTGATGATTCGTTGATATTAGAACTCGCATGTGGATTAACGGAATTGTTTTGTCCTTTGTTTGTTCTCGATTGGTTGTCTTGAGGCATGCTTACCTTATGTTCGATTATCGTTGTAAACGTGTTATCTATACACTTGTGGTATATTTCGATCGAGTTGAGATGATTATGTATTGTAATTGTGATGTATCCTTGTGTGCCTCTCCCTAAAAAAATTAATAATAAAAAAAATAAAAAATAAAAAGAATAAAAAGTGAGTTCGCGAGAAAGTACGGATTAGGATCCTCTTATCCCGAGCCATTCGTGGATTGGGATAATGAGCCCGGGAAACCAGTTTACGAAACTCGGGGAAACCCCTCGAGGTTAAACCTAGATGATCTCGTCCGGAAATCTCGTTTGGAAAGAGAAGCTCACGAAATGAGTTCTTGAGAGTTGAAAGGATTAGGCTCCTCTTGACTCGGTTAATCTTATAGATAGATCGGGTCAACGAGCACGGGAAACCAGCCTATGCGACTCGGGAATAACCCCCGAGGCTAAACCTAGGTAATAGTCGTCCTAACGACTCTCATTTGGAAAAAATGGCTCATTAAAAAAATAATAATATATAAAAAAAAAAGAGAACCGGATGACAATGAGAGTGTCATTTTGCATGTTCATTAATTTTGGCCCGTTCGATATATCTCTTCGAGTTATTTGTTATTTTGTTTGCTTGAGGACAACCAAAAAGCTAAGTGTGGGGGAGTTGTTTGTTATGTTTTTCTGCTTATTTTTATGTATTTTTATGTGTGTTCGAGTCTATTTTTAGGTTCGTTTTAATGTCGTCCGGTCCATTTTGTCATTTTCCGTATGTTTTCGTGTCTTTCGTTTTATTTTATATTTTGGCGTACTTATCCGTGTTATTGTTGCACTTTCAGGTGTTTTCCGAGGATGATGAGGAAGTCGAGCGAAAGAACCGTGAATCCCGAGAAGTGTCGAGCCATTCGCACGAACCATTTCAAACCGAGAGTTTCGAACCTTAGTCGATGCGGTCACAAGTTAGGCACGCCGCACGCCCGCGCGCCCGCGCGCCACACGCCCTCACGCCGCACGCACGCACTTGCACACGCCCGCACCCGCTAGACACACTCGCGAGCCAGCGGAAATGGCCGCGACCTCGAGAGCTTGTCGCCTGTTGTCGCCTAGCACATCCGCGAGCACGCCTCAGTATATGCAAGGTCGAGAGCCACCTGCCCCAGCACACCACGCCCCGCGCGCTCGCGGAATCCAGCGCGACATCGAGAGCTCCGCATCCTGTTGCACGCCCACGCCCGCAATGATGCCCCGCACGCCCGCTCGCTCGCGAATCTGCTTGCGAGATCGATAGTGCCGCTTCATGCACATCACCACCGTGAGCTCGCGGATTTTTTACGGCGTGGTCGAGAGTGTCTCATTAAGTGTGCGTGTTTTAGTGTGTGTGTGTGTGTGTGTGTGTTGAGTAGGAGTATAAATATATTTTGTCCTTTGCATTTTGTTGGTGATTCTCTCATTTTTCATTTTTTCCACTTTGGGAAACTAGCTTATGTTTATTTTTGCTCTCTAGATTAGGAGCTTATGCTATTTTCTGGGAGATTTTCCGGCGACTTCGATTTCGTTCAAGTTTCGAGCTTTTGACTCCGTTTTTCATCGTCTACGCAATGGGAGATTGAGTATTTAGTTTTAAAGCTCTTTACTTCAGTTTTTGCTCCGGTTTTACTTATAATGTTCATTAGAGTAAATTGGATTTGATTGATGATGGTGGAAATGCTTGAACTTGATTGCTTGCTTGTAGTCGTTAATTGCTTGTTGATCTCGGTTAGACGACTAGGGTTAGCAATCTAATGCTCGTAGCTCGTTTATTCCATTTGTCGATTGATTATCATCCCGATATGGTCATGGCATGAGACTCCGGTAATCTAGTTTGCTAAATGCTCGCGATTTCATCTTGCTTCTAGTTAGTTGCTCGTTTTTAAGTGCTCGTTTAGTGTTAATCAACCATCCAATCAATTGTTTAGAATGTTTAGGGTTTTATTTTCCCTTTGTGTGATTTGGACAATCATTTAGTAGACAAAGCTCCGAATAGCCTTCCTTCGAGATCGACCCGAGTCGGGTAGCTCGGTTATCCCTTGCCCATCAAATCTATAATAAACATGTACCAAACATAAAATAATAACAAATCCATACGGTAAATAGAAATAATTGGATAGTATTAATTCCAAATTTAAAATGATTTCTAGTTAGAAAAGTAGGCAAAGAAAACCTTTTCGAATAAATTTGAAAATTCAAACTAACGAACACATCATCATAAAAATTCACGGCCAAAATAATGGTTATCTTCTCGGCCGAAAATTTCCACACGCTTGCAACTTCTTGGTGGGAAATCCTGAGTGAGTTATGTGATCGTGCATCTCCATTCATGCGAAAATATGGCCACTGGAAGTTCCTCGCTTCTTAAAAAAAAACCGACCAGCAGCACTTTTCGCGTCCAATCGTCACCTACATCATCTGCCATGTCCGTTTTCAGCCGTTCGTTCAGGAAACCAGCCACAACAACTTCGCGCAGCGAGCTCCAGTCGATTCTGGCCGATACAGTCGCGGCCCCACCGACGCGCAATCAGCTTTGCACAACCATGTCCGACGAGAAAAAAAAAAGAAAATCGATTGAAACCATTCTGTTCATGGTGACTTCCAGTCTCCAGTCAGAACCAATTTATCCACCACCGGAAGCACCACTGGCAACCCTAAAATCAAGTGTAATAGTGCCCAGGATATTATTAGATTATCTCAACAAGTTTGTTGTGCAGTTCCCTCTACACACCAATTTGTCCTTTGGTCTTCTCCACAACTTCTAATTAAAAATGAACTTTTAGCAACAGAAACATAAAAAAGAACAAAACCTACAAAAAGAACAACAGATAAAGAAATTAATTGGAAGTTTCCATAATGTTAAGCTCC